GTGTCTTTTCGCTGTCATCCAGAAGGCACACGCGTCCGCATCTCAATTCGATCGTTTGGCGTTAGCGCGGTTTACCCGATTGTAGAAATTACATCGCGTCGACACTTTCGAACAGTTGCGGGAGTGCAAATACTTGTTAAATTTCTGTACGCTTTTCCAACTCTTAAATATACGTGTTTCGTCCCCTCAGTGAAGTCTCTTTTCTTTGTGCCGTGTCGTCTCTCCCACGAACCTGAGTCGCGTTCAATACATTTTTGGTCCTTCGAGCCGGATTCATTCGATACCGGTACGCGTTTGTTCGCGATTCGCGTCGTGTCAAGTGAGCGGCAGTGGTTAAGGTCTTTGCACGTCATTATGAGCCTCGACGCGGAGAGCCTTCTAAGGGGTCAGGAAGACCTGTTCGGGCGCATCGCCCGCGCGATGGAAAACCTGAAGAAGTCTGGTGCAGCAAGCATAACGACTGGCACTATCGAGACGAGAATAAAGATTCTCGACACTCATTGGGCCAAATTCGATGCGACGCACGACGTGCTCCGGGGAGGTCACTGGAAGACAATCAGTGAACTGGAGTATATAAAATCCGATTTGTACGGAATGACTGAGGAAACCTATGCGGTGCAGCGGGCCGCCCTCCTCGACAGCCTGGAAGAGCTGCGGGGCAAGGTATTGGAAACCTCTAATTTGTCGACGGTCAGGGAGGCAGAAGGATCGAAGCGGAGAACGCTCCCACGCATTCAGTTACCCTCCTTCTCTGGCAAGTTCGACGAATGGCCAGCCTTCAAGGATCTCTTCCGGTCCATCATCCACGGAGATACCTCGTTGTCAGACGTCGAAAAGCTGCACTACCTGAGAAGCTGCCTGAAGGAGGAGGCGGAGCAGTTGGTCCGCAACATCCCCGCGACCGCGGAAAATTACGCTCGGGTGTGGCGCACGCTCTCGGAACACTACGAGAACAAGCGTCTTCTCGTGAGAGCATGCTTCTCATCCTTTACCGCGCTTCCCAAGATGAAGAGTGAGTCAGCAGTGGACCTGCGGCGCCTCTTCCATGGCATGGTGCAGACCGTCGGTGCCCTCGAGGGCATAGGGCGTCCCATCAATAGTTCCGCCGACTTATTTGTACACCTCGTAAGTGGAGATGCTCGACCTGCGCACCCGCCGGGAGTGGGAGACCACCATCAGTGGAACCACGGAACCTCCGTCCTACGGCGAGTTGCGAACCTTCCTCGAGGGCCACATGAGGACACTGGAAGCCCTGCACCCTGGGAGCAGCGAGACGAATGCTTCGGGGACAAAGGGAGGAGCCGCACCGCGCGCCGCGCGAACGCACCTTGCACAGAAGCAGGTCAGGACGACGAAGTGCTCATTGTGTCGAAAGGAGCACTACATCCTCTCGTGCGGGGAATTTCAGAAAAAATCGCCGCGCGAACGCAAGGAATACGCCGAGGCGAACGAGCTGTGCCTTAACTGCTTCGGTAAGCATCGACTGAGCACGTGTCCGTCAAGAAAATCTTGCGCGGCTTGCAAGCAACGCCACCACAGCTCCATACACGACGTCTGCTCTACGGTCAAGAGCGAGGTAGGAGAAGCGTCAGCACTGCATGTCCGCAACGAAGGGAACGAAAGAGACGCGGTCTTGTTGGCGACGGCGAGAGTTGCGGTAACCGACCGATTTGGCACTTTAGTTCCCGCGCGCGCGTTAATCGACCCCGGATCGGAGGTCTCACTGGCGGCGGAGTCGCTCTTGAAGAGGTTGCGCCTCCCGCGTGCTCCGGCGTCTACGGTGATTCTGGGGGTTGGCGGACAAGAAACCGGCGTCTCTCGCGGCAGGGTGATGCTAACGGTTTCATCTCAGACCTCTGACGCCTCGATTCCCGTTCCTGCGCTGATATTGCCACACATCACGACTTACAGCGGGCGCATGGGTCCCCTCAAAACGATGTGGCCTCACGTGCGCGATCTACCACTCGCGGACCCGGACTTCGGAGCAGCGGATCCGATCGAGATCCTTCTTGGCGCGGACGTATATCCTGCAATCGTGGAGGAGGGCCTTCGAAGGGGCGAACGTGGCGCGCCCGTCGCGCAGCGAACCTCGCTCGGGTGGATTTTGTCGGGACTCGTGAGTGGGGCCGCCCCGCCGGGGCCCGTCGTGTCGCTCCAATGCTTGACTGGGGAGGATCTGACGAGCCTGGTGAAGACCTTCTGGGAACAGGAGGAGCCCTCGCGGGTTCCGCTCCCCCTCACCGAGGCCGACCGTCACTGTGAGGAGCACTTCGAGCGCACTCACCGAAGGCTTGCGAATGGACGATACGTGGTGCGCCTCCCCATCGCTCCCAACCTACCCTCGCTCGCGGACTCACGCAGACCCGCCTTGAGCACCTTAAAGAGCATGGAGCGAAAATTCGCGGCGGATCCGGAGTTTCGAGCCATGTACACCACCTTCATGGCCGAATACGAGACACTTAAGCACATGTCTCCTGCAGCGCCGGGACAGTCGCGAGTCTGCTTCCTGCCGCATCACGGGGTCGTCAAGAAAACTGGAAACACGGCAAAAATCCGAGTGGTGTTCAACGGCTCGGCGCGCCTGGCTTCTGGCGACTCGCTCAACCAGGCCCTTCTTACCGGGCCAAATCTCTTACCA